CTGGCTAGTTCAAACGCCGCTTTTCACATGTTGCGAAATTACATCAGATTTGACACATGTGAAATGCGATTTTTGAACCTGGCCTAAGATCATGGCATCGGTGCTACCTTATAGGAGCTTAGAGTTTAGTGGTCAGTGATCTAAAGCTCTGCGACGGGAGCTGGCTTAAGGTATCATCCAGGGTAAAAACCTATCATTTTTCGAAATTTTCCATTTTTAGATGATTAAGTAGAGCTCATCAAGAGCTTTCTTTTAAAAAAAATTCCAGAAAAAAATGTTTTTTCTGTCCAGACTTATGGAGCGCAAAAGTTTTTTCTATGCTAATTATTTTAATTGATCGTTGACAAGTCCTGTCATACTTGATACGCATGCCGCTGTTGAACCAAGCTAATCACGCAATTTGACAGAAATCGTGGTCTACAACTTGTATAGTGCTCACTGTTTTTCCCTGGATTTTGGAAGTGAATGCCTCCAAAGAAGAAAAAAGAGCTTGTCCGTTTTCGTCCTTGACTCCAAGACGAAAGAAGACGACAAAATCGTTTTGCAAAGTGTGGGTTTCGAAATTAGCAGAGAGTGACAAGGGCTCCTACTACAATCAAGAAAAATGGCTAAAAGATGACAAAGCTTCTGAAAAACGCATTGAAACTACCGCGAAATCGAGTTTCACGAGTTTCTTAGCGAGCGGAGCGAGCTTTTTAGGTCGCGAAGCGGCCAAGTAAGCGACAAATTCGCGACCGGTCCCGCGCCATATAAAAATCGGACGAAGGACTTTTTTGAAATTCTATTGTAGCGGGAGAGCAGCTTCAAGAAAAACTCCAGGAAGCGGTTTGTTGTCGATTTTTCCAGGGAAGTGTCGAACTTTTAGAAAATGTATCGAGTAAAAGTTGGCTTGGCTCAAAATGAAAACTGCCCGTCGCAAATAACTAAAGATGCTTTCTCGACAACAGAAGGATCGAACAGAGCAGAGCGTTCGAAATAAATTGTTCATCTGTTGTTGGGTTTCGTTTGTAACCTTTTCCTGCTGTGTCACTATTGTTGTCCCTTTTCTGGTATGCATCAACATTGACAGCTTTGGTGTTATAATCTGTTATAATCTCGTCACGGGCAATACGCCGCCAAAAATCTTTTTCCCCTGTTTTCTCGAAATGAAAATCAGAGCAAGTTGAGGGTACGTTTTAAACTCCAAGTCGGCAACCCGTGAACCAATTTGGCTGAAATTTGGCCAACTTACTGTCAGATAGTTTTTCTAAAAAACCGTGTCTGCGAATTTTGATTTCTTTTTTCGTTTTCGAGTAAGAGTATTTTTTTCACAGGTAGTGCTAATGATTTGCTATCCCTAACTTCAACTGCTTATAACAAAAGAACAAAACCACTTGACAAAAATCTGAGACACGGTTTTTTAGTCAAACGTGTTAAGAAGCGAATGCGATCTTAATTGGCTTCTTCCGTTTATTTTTGGCTGGCCTGGACTTAAATTTACAGCGACACCCACTTTCACAAAAAGCTTCTCATTTCTGAATCGCGTTAATATTTTGATTTTTTAAAAGGAATAAGCAATAATCTGGAACTATTAAGCTTTCAGAAAATGTACGGTTTATGGGGGTATTTATTAAAAGCAAAAGCGCTAGCGCCGATCAACGCGGGGAGGGTGCTTAAGGGTGGATGATACCTTAAGGTATGGTGACGTCACCATACAAGCTATTCCTGGTTTAACAGCGACTGAGTAAAGAGAGAAGAAGATAAAAAACAAGTAATATTTGATGAACTGAATATACAGAGTAGTTGCTTGATTGTTTTCAGGAAGGAACATTTATGCAAGTGTTCTTTTAGCAGCGACCACGGTGCCTCCTGGATAGGTAACATGGAAATTGTACTTTACTGATATTATTATTTTTAAAGAAAAAAAATGTTCCTTTGCATTGCTCTCAATTTTAGCTGATATACTATACCAAAAACCATTTTATAATACAGATGCTTTGTTGGCTGCAAGAAAGGGTATTTGACGAGAATTTATAGAGTCTTTTGCAACCAAAGCGGAAATGTTTTGGACGACAGTAATGAGGAGGTTCAAGTAAAGGAGTGACCGTACTAGCTGGTTGTCTTTTCGCGTTTAGGCTTGGGTTTGAAATAACTCGTTATCAAAGACCCTGAAAACTAAATGTGGTACGTACCCATTATTTCAAAATGGTGACATTTAAATTCTTGTGTTTAATTTCCTCTTATATATGAAAGAAAAGAACTACTACCACCATTATGGCCGGGAATAAGGTGCATTCTCTTTCCTTAATTAATAATTCAGATATTACAAAGATGAAATGCGCAATACATGTCAGGAAACCTGGAAACATGAACAAAGCTTTTGGTTAAATAGTTAGAACTATGATTGCTTCTTTATTTATAATCCCTTGTTATTATTTTTAGCCATGGACCACAGTGTAATTTCTATTCTTGGTCATGACACAGTGAAACACATTTTGTACGGAGTGAGCATGAACGGGAGAGCTGTTTTGAAAAGCACTACAGATCATGCAGCGAAGTTCATAGCTGTTCCGCTGAGCGACTGGGAGGCTGTTAAAGCCAAAGACACCACAAATCTTGCTGTTATGATTGGAAATGATTTCGCAATAAATACTACCAACAATACACCGATGCCTATAACCTCTTCTAACGGAACCGAGTGGGGAGGTACATTTGTAGCCGGTTTAATAAAGTAAAAAAATTAATATTGAATTTAAACCTCTCAGTCATAAAGAGCTGTGCTTTCAATCCTGGCCGCAAGCTAAAACCATCTTTCACTTCTCTAAATCTGCTGGTAAACATCCAGTTCATAATCTAGCCTTTAGTTCTATTCTTTTATACTTTAATTGCTCATTTATCGCTTTTTTATCCATTCGTTCGTAAATTCTTGGAAGATAAGGAAACGCTATTCTCTCATTCTATTCGATTTTTTTGATTCAAACACAGGCCTACCCACCGTCATCTTCTTCTATCCCATTTCATGTGGCCCATTCCCGTGTACCATCCGTTTTTCTATCGCATCCTATTCGTTAAATCTTATATTCCATATCTTCTTCACACACTAATACCATTTAATCCCTCGCTCTTCCATCTCACCTTTGAACGCTTCACCGATTTCCATCCCATCCTATCCAATTAGTTTTTCCTTTTTTCCTCTTGTTTTCAGTGTCTGCGAAAGGCGTTTATGTAAAAGAATCCTCAGAGTGGAAATTGAAAGCAGTTTGGATGTGTTCTGGTTTGTAAGCTTGTATTCGGGTCAGTTCAGTTGACTTAATTTTCGCAGGCGAGAAAAAACAACTAAAACAACATACCGACGTAATGTATCGTTTATGTAAGTTCAATTTTTCGCATCACACATTTTTTGACGTTGTTTTCGTCTTTCGTTTTTCGCTTTTGCCTCTTTTTTCTTGATCAACACAAATGATATAATTCTTCACTGTAATACTGTACGTGTGTCTGAAAAACAAATAATAAAAAAGAGAGACGGCCTAGCTTCTGTGCTTATGTATGTTGTATGCTTACGAGCTCCGCCATTTTTTAACAATGACGAACCAATGGTATACTGCTTGCATCTTTCAAATTTGGTCAACCATGACTGGTTATGAAGAATTAGCTGGGGGATTTGAGTCTATCAGAACAATTGAATGAATCATCATGTTTGTTGTTATTAAATTGACTCAAAATATTTCGCCGCTTCTAATGATCTTGGCTCAAATCTCCCGGCTAGAGCGGTTTTCATTTGAGTGTCGAAAAGTAATTGGTTTTGCACTTTCTACACGATGCGATTGGCTTAAAAGATTCGCGCCACCTTTTCATCCAATCAGAAGTAAAACCAAAGCCAATTGTGACGCGCTCGCATGCATTTTCCCGCGCTTTGTGTCAGCCACATGTAATTACTTCGAGTTTTGATTGGTTCAATGTATTGTCTGTGTCCTATGTGATTGGCCAGAGTAATTACTTTGGTTTGGTTTTACGACACTCAAACGAAAACCACTCTAATAGGCTCTCTGCATGACTTAATCACGTGATCAACTTTCAATAAACATGAAAACAGCTCATTTTTGAAAGTTTTGTTAGGACAAGCTGGAAAAGCATATTAAAATTAAGAAACCTGAGAATTTTCATCCGTGTATCTCAAAATTAAATTAAAGTAGCGATTGTAACGGCCGCCGAAAGTTAGAAGCATTTGTATGAGAAAAACATCTTTTGCCACCCAGTCAAGCTTGCATGGTTTTCCATACGTACAAATCCTTGTAAATTCTAAATTTTTTAAACTGTCGTTAAATCTTTCCCTTACCTATTTAAGGGCTCAAATTGCCTGTTATGAATTAAAAGGAGATTTGAGCCTTGTAATGCTTAAGGAAATATTTGATGAAAGTCAGTTTTGAAAATTTCGAAATTACAAGGACTGGTATGGAAAACCACGCAAGCGTGACTGGATGGCAAAAGTTGTTTTTGTCATACAAATGCTTCCAACTTTCGGCGGCCGTTACAATCGCTACTTTTGAGATATATGGCTGAAAATTCTCAGGTTACCTAATTTTAATATGTCTTTCAGTTTATGCTAACTGAATTTTTCAAAAAGTGAACTATTTTCGTGCTAACCGCAAGTTGATCACCTGATCAAGTCATGCAAAGAGCCTATTCAGTATAATCAGCTAGCGTTGTTAACCAAATTTGGAAGATGCGAGCAAAATGTGATCGATACGATAAAATAACATCTGTCTGTATCCTGAAACCGTGTCGAGAAATAGGCAAATGTTTTGAAAAAATAAAGTCTACGAGGAGGAAAAAAATGATAAAAGAATTGGGATATTTTGAATAAATTATAAAATAATTATTGAATTAGGCTTTCATGTGATTACTGAGGAATTACGAAGCGGATCCTGGACGCTGACATCGGACTCCGCCCTCGGTGGATAACTTCCTCCTTCTCCCCAGGTTAAAATTAACCATAACAGCTGTTTTACCAAATACGGCAGTAACATGGCATATAGAGCGTTAAACGTCAAGACAAGAAACCTTAATTCCGCAAAAGTTAGAGATTCAGGGCCAGTTATTTAAAAGTAGGTTAGCCCGTGTTTAACAAAACCGCGTCTTAAGCCAACGCTTTTTGAAACACCATTTAGCATGAGCAATTTCAATAAAGCATATAGCGTAGACTGAAAAAGCACTTGAAAAGAGAAAGGAAAAGGAAATAGGATAAATGAATAAATGGACTGAATTAACTTCCATAAAATTAAAATAATAATAATAACAAATAATAATGATAATAATAATAAAATAAAATAAAATGACAAAACTTGTACGTTCAGCCTTGCTGCTATCTTGTAGTATTTCTTTTATTGTGGTTGTCTTTGACAAATAGTTTTGTATGTTAGTTTTTTCCTATTAACTCTGATTAATAATAAACAGTATATCAGATTGCATTTATTTCCCATTCATAATTCTTTTCCTCTCCCTCTGTTTGTCTTCTCTCTGCCTTTTTTTCAGATGCTGGTAAGTGATAAGTTCATTACTGGGATTTGTTAGTATGATTTTAACCCTTTGACTATGGAACTAATGTGCATGCGCAATAAGCAAAACGTAAAGCTTAATACATCCAGTTCACCAAGGAAAATGCACAAACTGTTAACTATATTCAGGCCACTCTGGTTGCTCTTTTTTTTTTTGCTTAATTAACCTACTGCGACCGGGGGAGCGGGGCTTGTGGAGCCACCCTCCTCTATAACTTCAAAACTTCTGTAAACAAAAACCGAGCAGCTTGTTTTTAATTTTGAGCAGACGCCTACAGTTACCATATTTGCAGACCATGGTATAATGGCTCATAAGCCATGATGGCTAAGCCAATCGGAGCTCTAGAATTGCAGTATTCAGTGATTCAGTTCTTAATAATTACCATTATCACAGAGCGTAGGCTTTAAAGGATTTATTACCTGTCCCTTTCCTGCTGTTTTATGAATTACCTCTCAAAAACCTCGCGTCGTGTGTTAAATTTTGAGCAGGTTTCGTGGATGTTCACATCTGCTCATCGGCGAACGACGACGCATCAAGTGAAAGATGTTTAGCAGGACAGGCCTCAATCGTCGTAGATGGAGTCGAAATGGGGGTCACTGTAAGTATCATGCATTCATAACCAGTTAATTAAAAAAGAGGAGCTAGCCAAGAAACGCTCCAACTTACACAAAATCATTTGGAAAAACCAAAATGTAAAGTAAAAATTATTGTAAAAACGTCGCATGTCAAGTTTCATTTTGAAAAGTTACCCGTCATTCTCATAACGAAGACCGGGCCAGACGTTTACAGCTTCGCGATTTTGTACTTTGCAAAGAACAAAAATAGGCCCTTTGCACTAAGAGGTCATGTGACATCGTTTTTATGAAAATGAAAGTTACATGATTTTTCCTTCGAAAAACGATTAGTGGCTCATATCTTAAACAAAATAATAGTGATTTGGTTTTCTAAACCCGCACCATGTTCTTAAAATGAGTAAGTTCGTAAGTTCTATGAAGTCGAGCGTAGTTTATGCGGCTATTTAGGTTATGCACGTTTGTAAAATTTGAGACAATAATCTGACTTACTATCAGGTTTAATATAAGTTTACAGAAAGCTTTAAGACATTTTCTGACCGCAAGGCATTATGGAATTCTCTTCATGAAAATGTTTTATAATGTGGTCATTTCTATAGTTTGCTGTGCAAAGAGAGCGCGTGCTTCGATTGTCCTGAATATTGAATAAGTGGGAATTTGTCTTGAAAAATTGTGAAAAACTGCAGCTCTGTCAGAGGTCTGTATGATTAAAAAAAAAAAAAAAACAGCGCCTTATAGTGCTGTTTACCTCAGGTGTGATGTATTAAAAGTATAAAAGGCTGGTTTACACGCCACCAGATTTGTTGGCAAGATTTTTTAAAGTGAACTTGTCGAACACAAAAAATTCGGCCTTATTTTTTATTTTCGCCTCTTTTAGACAAAGGAAAGCAACCTATAAATTACAACGCGTAAATTGGCTGCCACCTAGGTCTATCGTGTTTTATATGCGGCCTTTATAGCATAATGAATTAAATTTCGGTGCTGTTCATCAACCTTATAAAATGAAGTTGGTGTAGGTGGGCGACTCTGGGTAAATCTATATATCTATATATATAGATATATATGCTCTGCAGTTCTGCATTTTATGTTGATCGAGAAATGCTGAACGGATGACTTCTCGTGTGATAATTTTTTTATTTTATTTTTTTCAGCAAAGAGGATACAATGTTGTGGTTCTCGACAGGGAAGGAAACTTCACTGATTTTAGAGCATTTGATTTTCATGCTTACCCAAATGCTGATGACTATTTGAGTGATTTTTTAGCCGAAATTCCAGACAACGCTATCGTGTTGATCGCCGTAATGGATGAAGCTTGGTGGAGTGGTAACGCACCTGAAAGTGACAAACAGGCAGCTGACCAACAACTGAGAAGCTTAGGAGCCAAAAACCCCAGACCATCTGAATATCGTGCATCATGGGCCCTGGTTGGATATAAGGGATCACACGAGGGAGTGGATTGGGTAAGATTCGCAGAGGCGCCAAGAATGCAGGGGCCGACAGAGATAGGTGTAAAGATTCCCACACCGTTACATACCTATGGTTGCGCCTAACTGTGAACACTAATAAAAGAGTGTTGTCTTATTTTATTTATTACCATGCCGTTGTTTTAATAAATGTGGCAATACACAAAGTTTATATCTCCGCGTAGGTCGTCAAAGTTGATGTGGCCCCAGCCGTAAGAATAGGCATCCACTAAGCGAAGAAAGGCTTTCTGACCGACAAATTCACTTGCATCCCACGTCTGACGAGCCATGGTCTCCGTACATTTTCCAGTTGCTTTTCTCACCACCTGCAAAAAATAAACTAGACTTGAAGCTATGTAAAAACAAAATCCTTCTCATACAAAAACCACACCTGGAGCACGGTCTTAAACCCTGACGCTATTAGCTCCTGTTAAAGGATGAGACAAATGAAAGTTGGTTCCCTATTTAAGGACCAAACCTGGAAAATGACACCATATATTTAAGGGAAAATAAAGAACCTAATAGTAGCACATAAATATCCAATGAATCGCTTTCAGGATCCCCTTCTTAATACGCTGAGGGATGAGATGATGATTTTCCTCTAACTTGGCATTTATACATTTCAATCTTACCAGATACAATTTGGCTGCCCTACCTAAGGGTCACACCGGGAACACAACGCCAACAAGGGAAAGAATGATACTCTTATAAAGGATCGAGACCCTTAGAAACCATGCCCTGTCTGGTGACACATAACTATTAAGCCCATATAAGGGAGCCCCGACCCTGCCCCCCCCCTCCCCTCTTCACCGGAGAAGATAATCTCAATCGAGATTGAATATGGTGTTTGACTGTACCAGGTTTTTGCGGACAAAGTAACTCGTCTATATAAATAAATCTTTAATGCACTTGTTCACCTTGTTGTTGATAACCAACTCCGCTCGAACGAGATTAATGTCACACCCTCCCCCAATTAAAAAAGACATCTTGCCGCTGGCAACGATGGTGAAAGGTGGGGATGCGACAGTTCCCTGTGGTCCGTCGTCTTGAGATAATCCTGCTGGAAAACTTGGACCGGGACGGTTTTCAAAACTCGCGATCCACCAATCTCCCTGTTGGTTTGCAGGCTGCCCTCTGCCACGTGCTGTTGGGTTGTCCCCATAGGTTGGCTGATTATTAAACGCAGTGCCAGACTTAGTCCAACCATCAAGACTTCCACTTTCAAAGTCGAAATGACAAGGAAAACAACCTAATGTACAAAAGCAGACCTTCATGGGTAAATCTCGGGGCATCTTGCTCCGAAGTTTTTAAGTGTTATTCTTTTTAGCTTCTTGCAGTGTCGATTGCAAACAATGAAATACAAGTGTCTCATAAGCCGACTACAACTTGGTACTACGCCCCCTTCCCGGAGGGGAGAAATACACACCCTTTTTCAGTCATCAATAGCAGCAACCCATCACTGATATCACTTAAGTATTTCAGATCGAGGATCAAAAACTATGGTAGAAGGATGATTGTCTCATCCATATATAACAAGCGAATATCTACATGGAAAGTCCTTTCTGAGGTTCTTTAGCACTCTCTGTTGACCCATCAGAAAGTGCTCCATATTAACTCCTCTAAAGCCACTGAGGTACATGTATCTTGGAAAGTTATTTACTAACCGTGGCAGCTCCAGGTTGCTTTAAGTTTCCACTTTAATAATTCTTCCACGTGAACACCAAGCGATGACACTGCAATATAAAGAAAGGGAAGAGGAATAATTTTATTTTTAATGCTAGTGAGATTTTTGTGTTGTAGTTCTTCGCTCGCTCTCCGGCTGTGGTGTTTATCGTCTACAAAGAAACATGTGAAAGATCCATTATTTCGAAAAACGTTGAGTTTCTTTTTTCTTTTTTTGCTTCGTGGTAGTATTCGAGACCCGATTGGCAAACGGAAAGTGGCTTTTTTAATAGCCCCAATCATTGCTCGCACTCAAATCTTGGCACTTTGGTGGGAACCCAGAAATAGAGTTATTTCCACGCTGTCTCCTAGACGGACTTAATCAAAAGTTTTTTTCTCGTCTGTGGCTAAGGTTAGGGCAGATGATGTGAGCCCTATTTTCTGTTGACCCTGATTTCGCGACATCCCTACTATCTGAGCGTGGCGTAGGTTAGAGCTAAATATTCCCAGGCTACCTGGTGCTCCATTTGTCCATCATCATTCAGCACATAAAAAAATGACATTTTTCACGATGGTGTTATAGAAACTATTGCTCTAATCCCAACAATTACACGGAAGGAAACGCGTGGAAACGCTGAATGGCATACTTTTAACTAGAATTACTCCGATCCAGTATTCAAGTTTTATACCTCCCCACTTGGTGCCGCTGGTTGACGTTACTGTATGCTCAGGTGGTGGTGTCTTGTTGGTGTCATTAATTATCAATTCACTTCCAATCATAACAGCAAGATTTGTTGTGCCTTTGACATTAACGGTATCCCAGTCACTCACTGGAACAGTAATGAACTCTGACGAATGACCTTGAGTGCTTTTCAAAATTGTTCTTCCGTTGGCAGTTACTCCGTACAAAATGTTTTCCACCGTGTCATGGCCAAGAATAGAAATTATATTCCAATGCATAGCTGAAAAGGGACAAGCATATACCGTTAAATTCCGAATAAGCTTCGGGGCTTATACTTTTCAATGGCCCTCTTTTAGGGGCTTATTTTTGGAGGGGCCTATATTCGGAGGGGCTTATCTATGGAGGTAAGTTTGCGTTTACAAATCGATTGCGCTAGCCTTATAGTTGGTAAATTTACCGTTTTTGCTTTGTTTTATTTTGTATTTGAGGGCAATTTTCCAAGTACAAGCCCCCGGGGGGCTTATATTTGGAGGGGCAATTTAACGGAGGGTTTTTTGCGTCACTGGTTTGGGGGGGCTTATATTTGGAGGGGCTCATACTTGGAGGGGCTTATTTTCGGAATTTTACGGTAGCTCAAAAGAATCGCCTTATGCACGGAAATCCAAGATAATCAAGGATTCCGGATACTAAGCCTTAGATTTCAGATTCCATAAAGTGGATTCCGCTTCTCTAGTCGGAATTCCGGATTCCTTTAGCTGTATTCCGATTCACAGAACTCCGAAATCGACAATATCTAGGGGAAAGAAGGTAAGTAAGAGTAGTGAAGTAGAGACCGGTTAAACCCTTTTTTGCCTAGGAATATCATTAACTTGCGGCGTCCTTGTGTCATAAATAAAATGCGATAACATATCGTCAAGATAAAATATTGTGCCGTACTTGAGTGGTTTGACCCGTTGGATAGGTTTTCTATAGTTATCTCTAGGCAGATGAATTTTTCCCCAGTCTTCCTCTTTAACGACATTCCACCGCCACAAAGCGGATCTAACCGGTCCCCACTATACTACTAACGAGACATACCAATTACACGAACCAAACACGTATTCTTCATAAAATGTCTTGTTGGGAATGGTGGAGCTACTTGTTAATAGTTGATATCGTGTGACGAACAATATAGCGTAGATTGTCATTGTAATAATAATATAGAATAACTATGGTTAATAACAATCAGGGAGACTGAAATTTATGCCGTGGCCATTTTACGCGCTGAGACAAAAGTCAACATTTAAAACCCACCGAGAATCTATATCTTCTTGCAGCGATTTGTCTGAGCTTCGACGAATGTCAAATATGAATTCTTTACCACAGACAATTCTAACTTTGTTAAAAACATATATTTTAATAATAGTGTCCCAATGATAAAAACAATTCTACGAAAAAAAAAGAATAATTCGAAAAAGAAACTCAGTAATTAAGAAAAGCAGAAGATGGAGACAAACCTGTCCACGAAGCACCCATGTCCCTGCTAAAAAAACAGTTGGGCGAATGCTCTGAATGCTCCTTGCTGAAACATTGACGGGAAAAGTACTTATAGTTAATGCGAAGTGCCAAATTTAACCTACAAGATGGAGTGAATTTTAGCTACCCTCTTCGAGTCCCATACTCCTACATTTGAATTGGACGTCTGAATCAACTAGCCGCTGTGTGTATTACTTTCCGTTAATTTGACTTCCTCTTTGTCTTTTGCTATTTACATGAACTGCAAGAGCAGTAGAAAATTTCCACCCTTTCAACTGCTTTCTATGCTAGACTGGCACTGACAACAGAATTCAGACGTTGCAAGAACTAGCTTGTCGTCACTCCTGTCGGCGGTGGCAGACAAATTCTTGAACACGAAGATCCAAGTGTACTTAAGTTAACGGTGGCCTATTACTTTGCCAAGGATAGTTAAATCTATTTTAGCTGAATTATTTGTTGGTTCGACTACCCGAGTTTACTAAATTCTGCTCTAGCCATGTGGTAATGGGAAAGTTGAATATAGCTTGGAAGACATGAAATATATTTTTTCAAAGAGTGAAATAAAGAACTGACCTCTTTCAATCAGGCTTATTCAGTATGCTTCGTGGTATTTTGAGCTTCCAGAACCTTAAACTAGCCTTCTGAATAGCGCATTAGTGGCGTTTAAATGTTCAGACAGTTCAATTTTACACTGGTGAGAAAATGACGTCAGTTTCACGCTCGGGCCAACTCTTTCTCTCATTCAAGTGGTCAGAATTTAGTAATGGCGGATAGCTAATGCAATAGGCCATTTCCGAGTTTTCGCAAGACCCAGTTTCAAAGCAAGGCTAAGTGCGAAGCCACTGATATGAAAATGACTATTTTTTGTCTGATCATGCAGATAAAACTCATTTTCATTTTCTCATTTTTTGAAAGTGAAATCTTTTGGAACTCGGAAATGGCCTATTAGACTTCTCCCTGAAATAAAGGTAGCTGTGGTTAATGTTTGCAAAATTTCTTTATTTATAAAATCGCAAAAACAGAAGTTTATTTGTAGAAGGCATTTAAAGGCTGCTTTATGCGTTCGCATTTATGATTTTATGGAGTTCCTTCCATCCGTGATGACAGATTTTCCTTGAATGGTTCCGGTCAAAAATTGGTGGGGTCTATTATCGGTATTTAAAGTACAAGGATGCCTCGTCTGTATATCAACTGCCTCTTAAGTTTTCACCAAATCATTTTCAAACTTGGTATCTTCACTGATTTTAGGGAGTTCCTTCCAGCCGTGATAAAAGATTTTCGTTAGGTAGTCCCAGTCAAAAATTTAAAAAACAGTGGAGGGGGTGTGGAGGTGGGGTGGGTAGGTATATCATCGGTAAGTACATAGAGGCTTCTTCTGGTTTGTTCTTGCTTACGAACTTTTTATCTCTAAAAACTAAATAGCAGAAGAAAGAAGCTACAAGCTAGCCTTCTGTTTAGTGGATGGAAGATCTCACCATTTCACGTTACAAATGTACATGATGTCCCTTGTTTTGTCCAAGTAATATCCGCGACTTGTAAACTTCAAGGAACCTTCGCAAGTAGTAAAAAAAAAATTGTCATTGTGAGATCTTGATAAGTTGAGGAAAACCTCTGAAATGCTGATGGGACAATAATTGAAGGAAAAAATTAAGACCAGCTACAAAAAAAATGCAAATAAAAAGCTCGAGTTTAAGAAATCCAAGGACGTTTGAGGTTTGCGGGGGGTGCCCAAAAAGAGGATTCTAAACATAAAAAGAAAAAATTAACTGTAAAGGAACTTTATGAACGTTTGTGAGTACTTCTTAACTTTTGAAGCAGTTGTTGTAGGTGTGGAGGTTCATGCTTTTCTAAGAGAGTTGTCAGTTTGTATATAACGCAAACAACCGAAACACCGAATTATTATGTACGTATATCGTACATATATGAACTATAACTTTATTAATCACAAATTCCACATTCAATACAAAGTGCACTTCAAATTATGTGTTTACCAATACGATATGTCACTTGTTCGCTGAAATATAATATTGCTAGATGCTGCAATACACGTAGGTACTGTTACTCTAGTAAAACTTGGGTTGCTTTCCATTTTACCTGGAATAGCAGGCTGACCCAGTCTGCATCCATAAAACTCAACTTTCAGGGCAATGCTGTTTTGCCAGGAGGTCGGATTAATGCGAACAAACACAGCTTCAAATGGTGTGGGAAGAATAATCACGGCCGCACAATCGCAATTATTGTTAGCCGGTAGATCCTTTGAAAACACACAGTAGTATGATAATGATTAGAAATCGCCCAATAATAACTTTAATTCTAGTTGTATGCAAATTAACTCTTATTGGGCGAAACTGAGTAAGCTATAAAGAATTAAGTAGCTACAAGTAGAAGAGGGAGTTTTTGGCCAAGGGGCGAGCTACTTTTGGTTTGAAACCACGTGACAAGGCGGCCATGTTGGAGGTCAATAGAGAATAATTTTTTCTCGAAGAATTGACTAGAAAATATAGTTTAGTTCGCAGAGGAGAGAAATGATTTTGTTCTAAACCATCAACATGGCCGCCGTGACGTCACGTGCAGCCAGAAATTGGGGGATTACAAACATCGAGATTTGCATAATTTTCCATAACTTATGAAATCTGAATTTTAAACTGTATTCTGATTTTTTGGATACTTTTTAGTTTATGTATTCTTCAAAATGCAGTTTATATTCTTCGAGAGACATATATATGTATTTAGTAAAATCCAACTAGTGGTCTATTAGGGACGGACCATTAGAAAAGTGATGGGGGGGGGGGGGGGGAAAAAAACAAAAAAAAATTCATGCAAGGGAAAATGCCAAGAAAAAAAATTCATGCAAAGAAGAAGGTAAAGAAAAAAATTCATGCGCAAGGAAGGTCCAATGGTGACTTTTTCAGAAAGTCTGAGTTTCAGAAATCAAAAATATTAGCAGGCACAATATGAATAAACAACTCGTGGCCTTGAAGGAAGCACAACAGAACGCGGATCAAAGATACACCTACGCTATTGGTCCCTTTTGCAGCCAATGGCAAGTTAGTATTTTCGATCCTAGCCATTAGTATTTAAACAGTCTGCTTCGCTCTCTGTACCTAAGACTTTACCATAGTAGCAACTGACGAGGAACGCTATAGTTCCGAAACTGCAGTCTTGCTTAAGAATTCAAAGCAGTCGTATAGACGACTGTTAAGCAAAAACTTAAGTAAATACCTACGAAGGAACAACAAGACATTGCGCTCTAGTTCAAAGACTCACTATGTTAAGTAAAACTAAATGGACTGTGTGAGCGCTAAGAGAATTATCTTGACTGACGCACGGCATATTTATCCAAACTTGGTGTAGCTTTAGTTTAAGCTACAGTGTACAACTCAAATCTGAAGACCGCACTATCCGTGGAAATTCAAAATCCTGCAAACCACATTATAGAGCTGGGCCCAGAGTCATACTGACATGGCAGGAAATAATCACATTCACGGACAAAGAAACTTGCATGCATGCATGCATGTAGTTATTCAGATACAGTCATTTCGGAGAAAACCAAAAAACTAAAATCTTTATTCAGCCGTAACTAACAGAGGTCAAAGAAAATTTAGACACTTTACAACTGCATCTGAAATCAAATCCTATCAGGAACACCTACAGAAGCATAAACTACAGGAAATGATTACTCAGTATGCATGTAACAAACCTGCTTTATGACCTCTAAATATAAGACTTAGTGCGGCAAAAACAAGATTTACTCAGTCAAAGTTTAGAATGCTACAAGTCATGCACTGTGTAGTGCTAGTAACCTTCGCGCAAGAGAGAAAAAGAAATAGAACCACTGTTCAAGCAGACTCTCAAGGTCACGTTTCACATTATCACGAGCTTATGAGTCGTGTTTGGCCTGTCAACGCTTATTTCTTAATGCAGCCAGCTACCAGACTATGTGGAACTCTCACACGAAAGGGGAGTCTGACTTTTATTTTATTTTTTTTAGTAAAATGTAGCCTAAGTTTATTTAAGTTATTACAGAGCACCATAAAAATTAAATAACTTTTAACAATCATTTTAATATTTCACTTTTACTAAACAGGTACCTTCTTTTTGGATTGACATTTTTGAGTGGAGGGCACTACCGGGGCTGTTTTGGTGTATGGAGTATGGCAGGGACTGAAAAAATGCACAGGGAAGCCGTCCACTCCAAGTGGCTTCCTCCTCTCTCACTGTGTGTACATTTTCGAAAAGATTTTGCATTAAAGTGGCCTGTATCCTTTGATCTGTTGTGAGTGTAGAATAATTTATAAAGCACACAAACATAGATAATGAATCAAGATTTCAGTGTTAAAAAAAAAAGCAATATTTGTCTGAAAAAAAAATTCGTGCAGAGGGTTTCACCTGAGAGAAAAAAATTCCTGCACAAGCAGTGAGCGAAAAAAAAAATTCGTGCAAGCTGAAAATTCCCCACCCCCCCCCCATCACTTTTCTAATGATCCGTCCCTTATCAATGCTGCGTTCTGATTGGTTGAGCTACAACTAGGCTATATGTTATAGCCTACTAGTAGCGAAAAGCGCGGGCTTTGAAAACCAAAACAATGGCGGCTGAATCAGGTTTTGCCAGCGAAAGTTGTTTTGTCATGATATTTTTGACCAACTAGTTGGATTTTACTAATGGGCTATTGACTCAGAGCTCATTCGGGCTCTAGGAATAATTGTTACTTGTGCTATCTTTTTAGTCAGTCGCACTGCACCAAATTGATAATGATTTATTGGCTATAACTTCGGCACAGATGAAGAACTCATCGTCCTTAACATTTTAAAGTATAAATGTTTTGTTAATAAGTCACGTAATATGTCACGAGACCATTGTTCTATTCTACAAAATCTTAAATAATTGGTGGCGGGTTTAAGAAAAGAAATCTTTTGACTAGCAATAACATGTTTCTCATTTATATTGCGTATTTCTAGCACTTTACGCTTGGAATAACTGTCCATTCCACTTCAATTAGAAATTAAGAGAGAAAAAATCATTTTGAATTATTTAAAACTTTAATTTTGAACTTTTCGTAAATTAATTCCAAACTTAGAAAGTAAGGTATGTTTACTTTCTATTAGAAACACCAATATATTTACCATAAAATTCGCCACCAATTCGCCAACTTCCTTCATTTTCAATTTATGGTCAGGTGAAATGTCACGTGACCATAACTAAACGCTAAGGCACAAGATGACTTCAAGATTTACTTTTGGGGAAAAATTCATGTATTTCTAGGTATCCCTTATTGCAAAGCAATCATATGCTCAGAACATTAAACCTTTGACCCAGGCCTTAAACCCCGTGAGGTCAGGGCATTAAAAGACGCTTTAGAAAACCTCAAGAAGGATTCTATCACGTATTTTGTGGAAAAAGTTCTGAAAATTATGAACTTAAGCCAAAATTTAAGCTCTAAACTTTGTAGTGCGTGGCGTTTTGGATCAATACGATAAACATGTCAAAATCTCCACGATATTACCCATGATATTAATAGGTAACAAGAGAACATAAAGGTCCTTTTATTAGGAAATACATTCACGTAATTATTAATTATTCCTAATTTGATTCGTCACAATTTGATTACACATAGCAGTATTATGTACTAAGAAAGCATGTCAAGGTTATACTGAGCTTGATATCAGCCTAAGGTCACTTTTTGTACCTTGTTCACGCTTCCTTGCATGTAACGTTTAAAAATAGCTCCATCATGGCTGTAACACAGAGATATCGATTTGACACAACTTCTCCCAAGACCTTTTGTAACGAGGCGGACAATTTTGACTGTGGTGTTGAAATTAACCTCTAGGTACTGTTGTTTATCTTTCCTGAAATGAAAAGAAAAAATGGAAAAGAGAAGAAAAAAAAAAGCAAGAAAGAAATTCAAATGAAATTTAATTCATGTACCAACCATCCATTAACGTGTTCGAGACGTCAACAACAGAAAGAAATTAGATGCTGCTCGAGTAAGCAGTAACCAAATTATATAGAAATAAAACAACAACAGAATTAGTGATGAAATCTGTAAAAAAAAAAAGAATGGATTCATGGTGGTAGAGAGGAAAAGAGAAGAGTTTGTTGACCGAACTGGGGACACGATAGGTATCGAGAATGCCTCTTGAACTATTTTGAAGCTTTGGAAAATTGGTATTACGACTTACGCAAGTAAGTTCCAAGGTATCCAAGCACTTGAGCTATTGAGTCTGCCCTGGTTAGGCTCCCCGCCGGTGGCATGGGACGAGGCGGTTATCTGGGCATTAGTAATTCTACCATCCATCATGCCTAGCGGCAGGTCACAGAATTTAAACAGTCTGCTTCGCTCTCTGTACCTAAGACTTTACCATAGTAGCAACTGACGAGGAACGCTATAGTTCCGAAACTGCAGTCTTGCTTAAGAATTCAAAGCAGTCGTATAGACGACTGTTAAGCAAAAACTTAAGTAAATACCTACGAAGGAACAACAAGACATTGCGCTCTAGTTCAAAGACTCACTATGTTAAGTAAAACTAAATGGACTGTGTGAGCGCTAAGAGAATTATCTTGACTGACGCACGGCATATTTATCCAAACTTGGTGTAGCTTTAGTTTAAGCTACAGTGTACAACTCAAATCTGAAGACCGCACTATCCGTGGAAATTCAAAATCCTGCAAACCACATTATAGAGCTGGGCCCAGAGTCATACTGACATGGCAGGAAATAATCACATTCACGGACAAAGAAACTTGCATGCATGCATGCATGTAGTTATTCAGATACAGTCATTTCGGAGAAAACCAAAAAACTAAAATCTTTATTCAGCCGTAACTAACAGAGGTCAAAGAAAATTTAGACACTTTACAACTGCATCTGAAATCAAATCCTATCAGGAACACCTACAGAAGCATAAACTACAGGAAATGATTACTCAGTATGCATGTAACAAACCTGCTTTATGACCTCTAAATATAAGACTTAGTGCGGCAAAAACAAGATTTACTCAGTCAAAGTTTAGAATGCTACAAGTCATGCACTGTGTAGTGCTAGTAACCTTCGCGCAAGAGAGAAAAAGAAATAGAACCACTGTTCAAGCAGACTCTCAAGGTCACGTTTCACATTATCACGAGCTTATGAGTCGTGTTTGGCCTGTCAACGCTTATTTCTTAATGCAGCCAGCTACCAGACTATGTGGAACTCTCACACGAAAGGGGAGTCTGACTTTTATTTTATTTTTTTTAGTAAAATGTAGCCTAAGTTTATTTAAGTTATTACAGAGCACCATAAAAATTAAATAACTTTTAACAATCATTTTAATATTTCACTTTTACTAAACAGGTACCTTCTTTTTGGATTGACATTTTTGAGTGGAGGGCACTACCGGGGCTGTTTTGGTGTATGGAGTATGGCAGGGACTGAAAAAATGCACAGGGAAGCCGTCCACTCCAAGTGGCTTCCTCCTCTCTCACTGTGTGTACATTTTCGAAAAGATTTTGCATTAAAGTGGCCTGTATCCTTTGATCTGTTGTGAGTGTAGAATAATTTATAAAGCACACAAACATAGATAATGAATCAAGATTTCAGTGTTAAAAAAAAAAGCAATATTTGTCTGAAAAAAAAATTCGTGCAGAGGGTTTCACCTGAGAGAAAAAAATTCCTGCACAAGCAGTGAGCGAAAAAAAAAATTCGTGCAAGCTGAAAATTCCCCACCCCCCCCCCATCACTTTTCTAATGATCCGTCCCTTATCAATGCTGCGTTCTGATTGGTTGAGCTACAACTAGGCTATATGTTATAGCCTACTAGTAGCGAAAAGCGCGGGCTTTGAAAACCAAAACAATGGCGGCTGAATCAGGTTTTGCCAGCGAAAGTTGTTTTGTCATGATATTTTTGACCAACTAGTTGGATTTTACTAATGGGCTATTGACTCAGAGCTCATTCGGGCTCTAGGAATAATTGTTACTTGTGCTATCTTTTTAGTCAGTCGCACTGCACCAAATTGATAATGATTTATTGGCTATAACTTCGGCACAGATGAAGAACTCATCGTCCTTAACATTTTAAAGTATAAATGTTTTGTTAATAAGTCACGTAATATGTCACGAGACCATTGTTCTATTCTACAAAATCTTAAATAATTGGTGGCGGGTTTAAGAAAAGAAATCTTTTGACTAGCAATAACATGTTTCTCATTTATATTGCGTATTTCTAGCACTTTACGCTTGGAATAACTGTCCATTCCACTTCAATTAGAAATTAAGAGAGAAAAAATCATTTTGAATTATTTAAAACTTTAATTTTGAACTTTTCGTAAATTAATTCCAAACTTAGAAAGTAAGGTATGTTTACTTTCTATTAGAAACACCAATATATTTACCATAAAATTCGCCACCAATTCGCCAACTTCCTTCATTTTCAATTTATGGTCAGGTGAAATGTCACGTGACCATAACTAAACGCTAAGGCACAAGATGACTTCAAGATTTACTTTTGGGGAAAAATTCATGTATTTCTAGGTATCCCTTATTGCAAAGCAATCATATGCTCAGAACATTAAACCTTTGACCCAGGCCTTAA